TTTGTTAATTCAAGATTAAATATAATTCAGAGTATAAACGTTAATCAATATTAATAAAACATAAGACTTACGCTTCATAGTTTTTGTATGGTGGCAAATCAATACGATTAAAGCTATTATCATATAAAATATGAAGTTAGTTGTTTATTTTAAAAGATCTCTCGATAATAAACAAAAACATGTAGATCATACCAGGTGTGACTCTTCGGCAACTGACTAGTATCTACTGCTTTTTCAATTGTGAATCGACGAGGCCCATCACTTCCTTGTAAGTCCTTGAACCCATTAACAGGAATACGAGATGTTCCGGTAGTAAATTGCAATAAACGCGATTTCTTTTCGCCATCCCATGACCGTACGCACTAATAAATCATACTATTAATCAATCCTAAATTTAGAAGAATGACGAAACAGTGTAAAATAATACCAACCTTCCAGAACCACTGTATAACATCATCTGATTCTGTATACCCTCGGTAATCGGTGTGCTTCTTCCAATCGTCGACATCAATTTCAGCGATACCTCCAATGAGTAACTGGAATAATAATGGACAATGTGTTTCAATCAAGGTGTTTCCAAGTCCGATTTTTCCCGCATAGTGATTTTATTGCTAGCTAGCACAAGACGCATATCGAACGAACCTATTGGCTAACCGATCTACAACAGGAAAATATTATGATAATAAAATTTTGATTCTAACCTCTAATTCACGTTCATCAAACACTGTAATCAACTCTTGTGGTATAAGTTGATTAAATCCTTCCATAAATGCTTTAAATTGATCCTCAACACGTTTAGAAATACGCCATTCTGTGATGAGTCTGAAAATATATATATATATATATGGAAATTCGAAATAAGACAAATGTATCGTATAAAATAGATAATTTTGTATTTACTACATACTCGACATATTCTTTCTTATTTTCTTCCGTTACTTGGATATTACGACCATTCGGTTTCAAATCAACTATTTCAACTTGGCCAAATCGTTCGTCTTCGGTGGAAAATGTTAAATCCAAAACATCAGTGATATTACTCTCTCTTTATTAAAAAAAAAAAATTCAGTTAACATAAAAAAGAAGTTATGTATATATTTTTATAAACCGAATACACATACAAAGCCCATTTTAAGCTTCTATAAAAGTCTGCATCTACACTTTCCATGTCAGCCAAGCCAACTTTTTTCTTTAGAATCATTTTATAAAAGGATGTAATGAAGAATGCATCTAAAAATCGACGATGGAAAATGGCAAGCCCGACCACTCGTCCAATGAATTTAAAATGATTAAGATGTTGAGGATCGATTCCCGAGTGAGGATTAATTTGGAGGGTGTAGTTATCATGAGCGGAGTATTCAAACAGGCAATAGAATGGATCAAACATTTTATGAGAAAGCAAAAAGAAAAATTCTCTAAAAAAATTTGCAAGTTAAATGTAGGATAAAAAATTTTTAATATCTTTTATGTTTGCAAGAACACCTAGAGCTTCTAACAAGCCTTAGTAAATTAAAATAATATTTTAAATGATCTAATAATTACCTGGACAAGCCACCGTAATCTAATCCGTCTTCACCATCAAATTTAATCATTAATCGTTTTTTTAGATCTTGTGGTTGTTGTCGCATGATTTCTGAATAAGCATCTTCAAAAATATATTCTCGTCGGACTTTAATATGACATTGACCAGGTACAGGTCGAAGAGCAGGTTGAGACCTGAAATAAATAAGCTTCCTACGAAAATCTCGTTTATATTGAGGCACATCTCGACTAAAAAAAAAAACATATAAACATTTAATTAATTTTAAGACCTGAAATCATTAATGTTATTTTAATAAAAATTACATACTCTAAGCTGCTAGGTAACCGAGGATCATCCCATGTGGTGGTTTTTGTATTGTGATCTACAAAATACACTCTAGCAGTACTTGTCAAACGCATTTCCCAGCCAGAGGGCAGTGGTCCTAGTTGAGATACAGGTTGCTGTTGGATGGTGACATTGTTCGCATTTCCACCACCATACATTCTAATATACTGTTGTCTACGAGGATCTACCCAAGTAGTTGTTCTTGTGTTATGATCCACAAAATACGGTCTACCTTCGGGTGTAGTTCTTTGCTCTTAATTAAATCAAAGTAATTCGAATGTACGTTAAGTTGAAGCATAAAGTAAATAAATAAATAAATAAATAAATACGTCTTACGAATTATGTATAATAATCTATTATCCTACATACCCCAACCAGAAGGCAATGGTCCAAAGCCGGCCGTTGTTGTCCCAACATGTCCTAGAGGGGCTAACGTCGTGTTGGCAGTACTTGTAGACGCTTCAGCACCAGAACCAGAAATAGATGTTGATGATGCATTGTTGGGCATAGATGAGGAACCTGTTAGACGTTCTTCAGGAAGTGTGCGATTATTATGTCTACGACGTTCCAACTCTGTTATATTTTGATGCTCCTGTAGCAGCTGAGTTGCAGTTGCATTCATCGATGGTTTTGTCCATGTGGTAGTTCGTGTATTATGGTCGACATAATATGTACGTCCAAGATGATCTACACGACGTTCCCAGCTATAATAATAATAATTATTATGTATAATGTTATCAGTTTACATAAATGTAGGAATTAACTTGTTTTTACAGAATTGTGTCGATTATTCATAATAATAATAAAAAATTTTTATTTTACCCGGGGGGCAATGGTGCCTGATCTTCAATGGAGCCAAATGCTCGTGCTGAATTACTTCCGGAAGCTGTACTTGGTCCTGGTAGAGTGTTTCCGTTGACCGCTGAAGAAGCCGAATTAGAAGAACTCAAAGGCCGTGAATTCTCAGGCCTCTGATTTGAATTTGCATTGGAAGATGATGCAATAGAACTCGAATTGGTATGATCTGACGTAGAATTCAGGTTGTTTCTTACAGCAAGATTGGAAGGTGATGCATTTATATTTGTCG